CATATCAGGATAACACTTTTTTTTACATGACCTCTATATTTATACCTGTTAAATTTTTATAGTTAATTTAATTGTAATTCTTATCTAACGTGTTACACTTTTTGTCATTGAAATAAAATATGAATATATTAAATAGTGGCTCATTTCATGGTTTTTTACTATTACTCTTTTTTTAGATAAAATAATCAGATGATGAAAATAACAGGGGATGAAATGACCAGGGGAGGACATGACCAGGGATGAAGTGACCAGGGATGAAATTACCGGGAACCTATCTTATAAATCACACTTAGTTGTCTTAAGACTTATGAGTTCTTTCACGAAATAAACGGTGAGTTTGCTGTTTTCTACAAATGGCTTGACTACTTTTCGACATTTAAATTTTATACGTATCTACTTGTAAATATAAGAATTAATCTAATTTTAAATGTAGGTCAAAAGTTGAATGCATTCTTTGTTAATTCAGTTTGATTTGAAAAGATCAGCTGCATTAGCCCTCTAATTTAAAACACAAGATATTTCAAACAATAAAATGTTTGTAAAATGTTATACATGTTTCGGATGTTCCTTCAGAGTTGAAGATAGTTTACTTCCTAGTCCAAACCTCCCGCAGGACGACGGGGGATGGGAGCGGGCAGGGTTTGAACCCGGGACCATCGATAAATCTGAACGACAGTCCAGCGCGCAAACCGCACGACCAGGCAGCCATCCATAATATAGAACTAGTAATAATAAATAATAATAATAAAACAATAAAATACCTAAGACAATATGGATTGAAATGAAAAAGATACCACAAATGATGATTAAACAGATTTTGCGAAGCCCTCGCTGGTAGCTCACTTCATTGTCACAATATTTCGTTAGTTTTCATAAAGCCAAGCTAACTTTTTAAAAATCAGAAGTAAAACTCCAGAAAATTGTATTTCCAAGAAAATGACTTTTTTTTTCACTTTTAATTTTTGTATAGTTCCCAAAGTTTATTTTTATCTTATCTTATCTTATATAATACAGACGTTACTTCAAAAAAGAAGATGATTACATCCTATGCGTCATGCATTTAGTCATGCATATTAACCAATGACTTAAATTCTGCCAAGTCACTGGTTTTCCTGGCTAGCTCAGGCAACCCATTCCATGCTCTAATAGCACTAGGGAAGAAGGAGTATTTGTACAAATTTGTCCTAGCATAGGGGATGAGGAATGTGCCTTTATCTTTGTGTCTTTCAGAGTATTTTATTAAATTTTGTTTTTGTATTTGAAGATTATGGTTCAGTGTTTTATGTATAATTGCTACTTTACTTTTGAGCCTTCTGTCCTGAAGGCTTTCTAAATTTAGTGATTTTACTAATGGTGTTACTCTAGTCAAATGTGTATATTCGTTTGTTATGAATCTCATAGCTCTATTTTGTGTCTGTTCCAGTTTCTTAATGTTTTCTTGAGTTGAGGGGTCCCACACGGTGGATGCATATTCTATTATTGGCCTAACCAAGGTTAAATAACATTTTAGTTTTATGTTCTTATTTGATTTATAGAAATTTCTTTTAATAAATCCTAATGCTTTGTTTGATTTTTTTGTAGTTTCATCAATATGTGGATTCCATGACAGTTTTTCATTTATTATAACACCTAGGTATTTTGCGTTTTTAATCTGTGTTACTGGTTTGCCATGAATAAGATAAGTGGAATTAATTTGTTTTAGTTTTTTTGTTACTCTTAACAACGGACATTTTTCTGGGTGGAAAGACATGCTCCAATTTGATTCCCATTTCTGTAATTCATCTAATTCTCTTTGTAAAATATCTGTGTCTTGTGTTGTTTTTATTGTTCTATATATTATGTAATCGTCTGCAAATAATCTGACTTTTGTTCCTGAACTAATGCAATTTGGTAAATCATTTATGTAAATTAAAATTAGTAGTGGACCTAAGACTGTTCCTTGAGGTACACCTGAGTTTACTGTTATCGGTGTTGATTTAGAGCCATTTATTATTACAGTTTGTTCTCTCCTTATCAGAAAATCTTTAATCCACTGATGCAGTGGACCATTAATGCCGAAATATTTAAATTTTTTTAGCAAACTATGGTGGTGAACTTTGTCAAAGGCCTTAGAAAAATCTAGTAAGATAGCATCTATTTGTTCACTATTATCTAAACCTTTTGGAAAAGCATCAATTAGTCCTATTAGTTGTTTTAAAGGGGCTGTAGAAAAAGTAACTCAATCCTGAGATCTAAAGCCTCTTTGAAAGTATTGTTAAAACAGTACTATTTCTGAAGACATGATGTTTTGACAGCATCAACAATGGTAACCAGCACTATCAACCATACCTCTACTTTACCTGAAAAAAAAAGCATTAAAATATGTAAAAAAAAAAATTAAACTACTGATATTTTTATTTTAGTGATTGGCTGCATTGCTAAATCCAAGGTTAGGATATTTTAGAGAAACGGTTCACATTATGTTAAAATAAAAACAGAATATTTCCATCTTTCCATTTGCTTTCTGAAAGCTTATTTTAGTTTCAGTTCGTTAAAAGAAACTTGAATAAACTACCGTAATACTAATACTAATACCAACATTTAAAAGAGAAAAAAAATAGTCTTGTGAGCAGTGTAACAACGTGAAAGTCGTCTTGACCTAGACATGTAGCTATATATAACTAATAACTGGGTCAACATGCTGGCTTAGTCTACGGAGTTATGTTAAATGCTAAAGTTTTTTTTAACATTATAAATGAATAAGAAATGTTAACACTACAACTGTACGTACAAATTATACTGTTATATTATAGATATTCCTTTAAAGTAGACTAATGAACTTATTCATCTTTAAATATAAGACTTGTATACAATATAAGTTAACTAAAATTTAAACGGCACAATATCCTTAACATAAGGCAATAAATCCCACAGTTTATAGCAGATAAAACGTATATTATTTTCTTAAAGAAAATGTGCAATTTCTCCATTAACAATAGTTGCATTAAAGAGCCCCATTAAATTTGCAGGAAAACGTTAAGTGAAATAGATAACTTATCATAACTGGGAATAACAGAAGCATCAAAGTCACCTTATGCTTGTTACCTATAGTGTTAGCAAAAGAAAAAGAATGGATAGATCATGTTTACATTATAGACATTTTAATCATGTAACAGAAGTTGACCCATACCGTAAGCTAAACATTTGATGACAAACTACTCAATTATCTAAGGCTAAAATATTTACTACATTAGACTTTACAAAAGGGTAAGTTCCTTTGGCTGATAGGGCTACGCTTTATACAGCTATCATTTTTCCATATGGGTCATACCAATGGAATTTCATGAACTTTGAACTTACAAATTCTCTATCCACTTAAGAGAATGATGACGCAAGTCGTAGGGCGAAGGGAGAATTTCATGCGTTATTTACATGGCATGCGTATTTTGCACGAGAGTTGGACATGACATGTAGATTCGATTAGAGAAATATAATAGTCTATTAGTTCTAATAATTTTTTTTTATCTAGAGCCACTGTGGATGATGTAGTTATAAATTATGTTTATACCTATATATGAACAACTTACTGACTGTAAACGATGAACTAAAGGATGAGTACCACAGAAGGAAATATTATACCTGATGCCTGAATTTCATATGTTATTTTCTCATTCCCCATTTTGGGCCATTGCTATTGTAAAGACGAGACAGTAATAATGGGATGAGGCGTTGGATGTGTAGACAGAAAAAAAATGAATTAACCTTTTTTTTTTTGATAAAGGGTAGGAAATAGATGTGATTCAATAGGCTAGAGGATAGAGGTTAGTCATAATCGTATTTTTCGTAAGTGACGGGACGGTAGATTAAAAACTGTACGCAGACTAGTGAGGAGACAGAATTAATGGACAAAAGAGACTGCATAAAGTTAAGACGTATTCTGTTTACAGTTGACATAGGCGACATCCGACTGTTTTCCTTAAAATGTGATTGAACGATTTAGTCATCAGCATCATCAACAAAAAAACACCACAAAATAATAATAATAATAACTTATCAACTTAAGTTAATCTTGCGAGTCTAAGTCAGTCTAGAGTACGAGAGTCTACAGCAAGATCTAGTGGTAATCTAGTAGGCCTAACTAATAAGTCAATAACTACTAGTCTAAGCAAGTAGATTATAAGATTGACTAATCTAGATCATAGATATATTCTCTATAAATAGTACGATAGTCATTAGATTCTATGGTAATTTTAAAGTAGCTTACCTTTCCATTGTAGCTAATGACTCCAGTAACATTGTAAGCAGAACGTTTCTTCATCTCGGCTTTGACTCGAGCCTGAACGTGTTTCTTCATCAGATTTAAATCTAATATCTGTCACAAAATGTTCTTTGAACAATGTTTGTCCTTTGAGAATGACGTTTCTGTAATCATTTTCACATGCATGTGCTGCATTTATAACATCGCAATGTTCTAACAAGTTGACAAAAGTAAAATGTACAAGCAAGAGCGGTTTTCTAACAATAGATTCCACGTTGGTGTCTAGATTATGATGATGGTTGTCACGTGACTTAGGGGTGTTTGTTTAGACTGGTCTAAGAAGACACATGAAAAACTCATTATTAGGTTAAAATAATGATTTTTATTAATTAAAAATGTTAGTGGTGCATGATACAAGTAAATAACACATTGTTAAACAAAATTATTACATTTAATTTAGCCAAAGATGTCAAAATCTTTGCGACATTTCGACATGGTTAATAAAAAAAATATTTTAATAGTAAAAAAGTTCATAATACAAGTTTAATATAGTAATGAATTAATTATATTAATAAATGTATTCAAAGTAAATGTTTAAGGAAACAAAGAAAATTATTTAAATGAAGTAATTATTGATGTACAAGTCGCATTTTCAAAAACTGCAACATTTACTTAGGTCAGCCAATCTCTACCCAAAGAATATTTTTAAAATTACAAATTAATAATAATGGAAACAATGGAAAACATCTGAAGCGAAATTATACAAAACACTTAAATACATTTAATTTGAATGACTATATGGAATACATTTTATTGACATCAAGCTACATACGTTATTCACGATATGAAAAAAAAGCGATATAGAAAAATAAGATAAACTCTTTTCTTTGTTTGTTTTACATTGAAAGATGCTATTGGGAAAAAAAACATTGATTCTAACTACTAATTAAAAAAATTGAGAATGAGCCACGTCACTGGGCCTTATCCTCTTAACTTATATTATCTTGTATAATACAGACGTTACTTTAACCTGAACACATTTTATAATAATGTACATTTCTTTGTCTGATTGAATGTTCAGTTTCTATAAGCTCTTAGTGCGTTGGATCTATTTTTAGATTTATTTCAGAAGTAAAAAAAGAATGAAGATAAAAGACGACTTATTAAACAAAAAACAAAAAACAAACAAACAAACAAACACACAAACAAACAAACACACAAACAAACACACAAACAAACACACAAACAAACAAACACACAAACAAACACACAAACAAACACACAAACAAACAAACACACAAACAAACACACAAACAAACACCTGTCAGTACAAAAGTAGTTATTTCAAACATTGGAGGGAGAAAATATTTTCTAATTTCTAATTTCATTTTGATTTGTCGACTGTAAAGTGCATTAATGAACTTTTTGTACTAGATTTAAAACTCCATTTATAGCATCCAGAGATGATTGTAAATACATTATTTTAACTTCAAGTTTGAGTTTATCAACTAACAATAAAAGGTGCAAAGGTCGAGTTTTCAGTACAATTGTTGTGGTAAATGTAATTAATTTTACGGAATCCCTGGACCTCTTTTTTCAATTCTGAGCTATTTTGGTGTATAGGGGATCTCACTCCATAAATGTAAAGTTCATCCATAAGAACGACCACACCATGGAGTGGCCAATCTGTCTGCCAAAGTCTCTCTACCTGGTCAAATTCTAGAATACCGGCAGCTGTCTTGACAATCTTCCACATACGACCACAGGACTGTATGACGTAGGTGTTGAGCTCATCTTTGAAACTTGTCATTCCGCTAGCTGTAAAAGATAGATTGTGATCAAGTCGTGACCACATGTTTTTGTGTGTGTTATAACTAAACACCAATGTATTAGTCATGCCTATAAGCGGTTCTGGCTCAGAATAAAAAACAAGAATTGAGTCAGCGTAGCGCATTACATGACTTATTGGTTTTCTATAAGGTAAATCTTTCAAGTTCCTAACATTTCTTAAGGAAGGATCCAGTTTTTGAAATTTTTTTCCAAAAGGAGAAAGAATATACAGAAATCCATCAACTGTCACAACTGAAAATTTTTTTGAAGATTCATTCAGAGGCATTACTTCTGACCACTCGCCATTTACATATTTTGATATAAATATTGAGCGTTTTCTGGACCTCTGACCGCCTTCCATCTCTCTCTGTGCTGCACTAGGTCTTCTGCTAAATGCGTATAAAGATGTGTCGATTGTAGCCAGCTTGAGAGTTGTCATTTTGCTCAAATGATTTGGAATTACAGACCATCTGTTTGATTCAATTAGGTGGGCTTTAATTTCGAAACTACTTGTTCTTTTTTTAAACGCAAACAAAACTGAATGTTGATAGGTACTACATTTTCTATGCGTAGCATTGGCAGGCCAATACACATCTCTTTGGTTTATAAAAACGCGGCGTGACAAAGCCTTAATAATGAAATCCTTGAAATGGCTATATTCTTGTACAAATGGGTGTTTAATTAATTTTTCTAAATATTTTTCGCTGATAAGAAACAACTTAACATGTTCAAATAAAGCAACGAGAATTTGTTCTCTATTACCGCGATTGGTTCTGTCACCCATGTCATCGTTAGCCCTAATAAATTGTGACTGAACTTTTCTTCTTTTCGAAGCTGGTTCATCTGAACTTGTTTGTGCTCTGCCTTCATCTGGACTTGTCTGTGCTCTGCCTTCATCTGAACTTGTCTGTGCTCTGCCTTCATCAGAACTTGTCTGTGCTCTGCCTTTATCTTCTATCGGATTAATGGGCCTTATTTTTTTTTTCATTTCCTGTGTATTATATTTTACCCACAACAGAATCGCTTTGACCACATAGTCTTCTGACTTTGTCACCAGATTTTCATTTTGCAATAGCTTCGAAAGATCATCTTGTGAAAGATCAAGGAAATGTTTTGTTAGATGAATAGAATGGAAGTGTTTAAGGATAATGGGCCATACCATACTCTTCACTTTTTCCGAGTTATATTTTGTCCCAGCTATGTAAAATTCCAAACAATTCTCTGAAGACTTCACCCGATTTATAAATCGTATACATTCATTTTCTAGAAAGGGAATGTTTAAATAATCAGCAGCTTTCAGCATATTAATGACATTATCCCTTGTCACGATGCTACATCCAGTGTGCATTGCTCGGTAAATTAATTTGAACACTTCAAGTGATATTTCTTTTAATGGGTACTTGTTAACATTTTCATTTAGCTTTGTTTCAAATGCCGTTCTGAAGTAGCCACAGTGTGCTGCTAAAAGAAGTTTGTGACATCTGAATTCAGTGCCGCCAACAAGAACGACAGCATCATAAAGATTTTGAGTCTTCAAATATTGTCCCAAACTTTGAACGATGTCCAGTGCAACATTGCTTTTGATGATTTGATCTATACAGATGTGATAGAAAAATTGAATACATTTAGTAAAACATAGAATTGCTTCTTCTAAGATTAATATCTTAACTACAGTTAATGCTTAATTAAAGAGATTTTTCTGTCATTACAAAACTTATATCAACTCTATCTGTCTGTCTGTCTCGTAAAAAGTTTGTACATGTTATTTCTCCAACAACCAATCTCGGATCAAGCTGAAATATGCACAATTATTTCTTTTACCAGACAACACAAGAATCAATTTTTTAAATTTCACAATTTGTTCATTAACTATTGGTTATTAAGACTAAGACTAAGACTGCTTTATTGATCCTTATGGAAATTTGTTGTGATTACAAGGACTCTTTTCTCATATAAAAACAACACAACAGAAACATACACATAAATACAACAGACACAACATAAAGAGTTAGTCAGCGACTACACAGAGGCATCTTGGTCCTATTCATGTTTCCTGATCAACGAGTGGCGTTGATAGAGTCTGACCGAGTGAGGATATATATATATAGTGACGATATAGGAAAATGAGCTAAAGACAATCATTTTATGTGTTTTAAATGTTATATATCAAGTTTTGTGAAAATAAAAAGAAATATTGAAAAAAATATTTAAAAGCTATTATAGCACAGTGCAGGACAGGCCACTGTCCTGTTTGCTCATATTTCTCACGGCTATGGCCAAATTTCGATGCACGGTGCCCCCGCTGTGGGAAGAAGAGGAAACCGTGCCTCATATTCTGTTTGACTGCCCCAGACTTGCTGATCTCCGTCTCGACAGGTCTGGGAAACCAAAAATTCTCGACATGTATGCACTACGCAAGACAGCAGGCTTTCTGTCCAGGGCTTTTGCAAGAGAGGATTTTAAGCCTCTCAAGCCCTCATTCAAATGGAGTTTGATGATGATGATGATAAGATACTATTATTGAATTAAGCTACCTTGCTTCATTGTTGTTAAGAATCTTAATATAATCTTAATCCGATTCATTTAAGGACGTTTTAAAATAGATGAATTCAACGTGTCTCTTCTCATGAAATTTACTGTAACAGTTTCTACCATATCTGAATCACAAAGTTAATGGCGTAGCAAGGTACCCATGGGCCGGGATTTAGAATATATTGGTAGGCTCGCTCTCTCCTATAAGACGAATTTAGTATAGACAAAAGATGAGTAATCAAAATGTATTGGTACATTTACCAAAAGACAGTCGCTTGCAAGGACTGTACTTTTTTTAACTCAGCAATTATATAATTACATTTGATTCAGTTATGACTCCGTACAAGTATATAGTTCGTCCATCTTGGTTCGATGATGATGCCATAAAAGTCATTGTTTGTAGAATTTCTTAACAGAATTAAACGACTTAAATCTGTTTCAAATTAACAAACACATGTTTAGTGAGTTATTTTATCCATTATACACATATACATTCCTTAAACACTTCTATGTGTAACATTTGTAAACATTGATACAGGCTATATGCTAGATCTTTGTCCATTATAATAGATATAACATTTGTTTACTAATATTACATTTTCGTGGCCTTCTAAGTAGCGAATTCAGAAACTGCAGCTATTTATAAAATCTTAGCTGTTTTTAGCTCAATGTAAAGCTCAATGTAAAGGACACCATGGAAAGTCATACTGCTATGCGTCATAAAAATTCTTAAATATTTTTGATCAATCAAAATTCAAAAGTTTGAAAGTAACCACTTTGCGGAAGAATCGATATTTGAGTTTCTGACTATTCATAACTTACCATATAGTCCTAATTTTTGCTTCCTCTTTTTTATCTGTGCAATAGATAGGTAGATTTTGTTAATCAAGTTCTACCTATCTCTTTCTCTCCCCCCCCCCCCCTTGATCTCGATTCCCACAAAAATGAGACATTTAGTGAACAAAATAAGAATGGCACGATCTGTCACCACAAACGCAAGATGAACCATAATCCATCACAACAGTCCTGACAATCAAGCCTTTGGCACAAACACTGTAGCTGACTATATATATATATATATATATATATATATATATATATATATATATATATATATATATATATATATATATATATATATATATATATATATATATATATATATATATATATATATATATAATCTAGCATTTTCACTCAAAACTTCCTAAACCAATGTCAACATCTAAGATATAACAATTTTTGCAGTTATTTGGTTTCTGAAAGTAACTAGGAATTCCCCAAAATTGCCAGACAACTTTTTTTTTTTCATGATTTAACATTTTATAACAATAACAGGACCGAATTTAATGGAGGGCAAGACAGGCTACTCCACAAGAGAAAGGCTGCCACAATATTGGTACAAGAAATATCTGAATAACAACGGGTCAGAATTTTTTTTTCTATATGCCAGGAACCAGAATGTTGTTGGAAAATTTTCTGTATCTTACGCATATAGTGTGCTCGTAATATATAAATACAGCACAGGATTTACGGCAGTGCGTCAATTAAAGTTATTAACCTCCACAAACTCAATTTTTTTCTTTCTAAAATATACATATTAATGTTAATATAAACGAAGGAAAATTAATTAAATGTACTATCATCTATTTTTTATTTTAGACATAAGTATTACTAATAATAAGAGGACTTTA